TGTGAAATCTAGCAAAGATGAAAGGACCACACATAGTGTGACACAAGTGGGGATGTGAGGACTCGTGGGCTGTGCGGTATAAGCGCTGCCTCTGCTGATCGCTGTGGAGGTGGACACGGTCCGTCTCCGACAGCCTCCTGACTCTCAGGGCCACATGACTTCCTCTCTCCCTTAGTCAAGGAAGCCGAGGGAAAAAACCCTCTAAAAATTACTCTTTGGCTTTAATATAGGAATCCATCCTGTATTAAATTACTGCTACTCTTTATTCTGAATGCTTACCAAGTGGCAGGGAAAAGCGCCAAGTACTTTGTATAATGCAATGAAAAATTATTATCCCCACAGGAACTGACTCAGGGAAGCTAAATATTGTGCTCAAGGTATGAAGCGACTAAGTGATAGGGTGAGGATTCTAACCTAGGTGTGGCTCTCTGAGGCAATGCCACTATGGGGCTCTAAAGATCCTCTGGTAGTGTGGCAGGCCTCTTCTCTCAACGCAATTCCACTGGGAGGGGGATGAAGATTCCCAGGATGCTTCATCTTCTTCCATTTTCCCACCAATTGTTCAGCCTGTCCGAGGCAGATTCAAACACTTCAACTTAGAGCTGAATCAGTGTTTCCATGCACCTACTGGACTAGTCCCAGGCAGTCTGGCACCAAATTCATTCTTTAAATCTAATTTTTCTCAAACACCAAAAAACACCGTGCTTCATTAAAGGGATTTTATTTGGATGAACTTTCAGCCTCATCATGATGAATACATGCTACCGAATGCTCAGTCCCTACACTGTTTCTCATAAGCCTCAGGGGCATCCTTGTCTAACACAAAGGTTAACACATTCATCAATTCTGCAGTATAGTGGTTCACAACTTGGAGCTCCTTTTATAATTTTCTTTGCACCAACCTCAGAGATTACTGCCATGTCAACCAAGACTGAATACATTTTTTCCTACTACTGAAGACAGATGGAAGACATTGATCCCTGGGGTGTGGGGTCCCCAGGTAGGATACCACTGCCCAAATAACTTTAGAAGAGTTGTGACCTACAGTTTCAATAACCACGTATAATTCACTGTATAAACCAGAGTAATTTCATTTATAGAGTTTTATGCAATATAAAGTGTTTCCATCACTGCTCGACAAAATCACATTATCCTAGAGAGAGACAGCTCTTGAAGACTGTCAGTTGCAGGGTGTATCTGGGTAAATATTTTAGACATACCAGTCAGTACTCATACTGAGATGGTGAATAGAGGCCTACAATGTTATAAAATGGAGCATGTGTTTAGAATAAGTGCCTAGATCAATAAAGATAATCCATTTCCAAGGGACTGTCAGGTCTCCCTGGTATGGGGGCCTCTTGCAAAATCTTAAAGTGACAATGCCACACTCAGTGAGCTGGGCATGCTCCTCAGCTTGGGCTCCACTGCCAACAGCAGCTGTGTCCTTTCTACCTCTGCAATCAGCAACAGTTTGCTTTTTCCTGAGACATTCTCATTAGGAAGAGAATGGCTTCTCATATTCCAGAGAGGTGAGTGACAGTGCTTTGTTTAAAAAAGTATTAAATGCAAAGTATATGAACACAGTGAATCAACAGAGGTAACTCCATCCCTCTGCTGCTGAGGACTGTGTGGGTCCCATAGCCCAGGCTTGTCAGGTAGGATGTGGGCAGGCAAGTGCTTTCAATTGTCACCTCAGTGCTGCCAGGGACACAACATAATGTGAGAAGCAGCACGTAGGATCATTCAAGGGGAAGATTTATTCTAACTTTCATGGAAGGAAACAAACACCATCAAAATCTGCTGGAGAGAGGGCATAAACATGACACAACTTAGGACAAAGGAGCTGAAAGTGAAGCATAAAAGAATTAAAAGAAAAGGAAGAGGCCAACATGCACTGTGATGCAGCTACTGCACCTCCAGGCCTTCACATGGCTGGGTAAGGGAATGGTCCCTTTACCCAGAGCCAGCTTCGCTTTCCTGACTGTGAAAGACACCTTCTCTATGACGCCTCCATCATGCCAGCACCTTCATTTCCTAAGGACCTGTGAGAGCTGTCATCTTCCCGTATAGTGTCCCTTCGGCTTCCCTGGACAGCTCAGCATCATCTTTTACTGTCCAGTGGGTTGGCTGTCGGACATATGGCCCATCTCTCTCCCAGGACTCCCTCCGCTCTAACTAGCAAGGCACAACTTTTATTTCATTCTGTGGAGGCGCTTTAATTTATGCTCCATTAAAGCTCCCTCTTGAAAATTATAAGCCGAAGCCACATCTAACAATTATGACATTCTTTGGATCCCACACACATCCTAAAAGTGGAAAATTCATTTCATGGTCATAGAACCAATGAGAAATGGCTTCATTAAAAATGCTTCAATTTTTCTTTAAAAGTAAATTAAATGATTTCAGGTGTTTGTAAAAAATCTTTATGTTTATAGCATTTTATAAACACTGGGCATGCTCTGAAAAGATTCTCTTACATCCTAAGAAATTACAGCTTAGACTGGAGGCCAAAAAACTTTTTTTTTTCCTATGAAATTTGCTTTTGGTTTCAAATTGAACTCTAGTGTTTTTCTTTTAGTACCAAGGTTAGGCTCAGACTTCTTAATATTTATGTTTTTAGTCATCTTTCATCATCCATAGAAAAAACAAGTGATGATGGTTCCCTACCTCTAGACTTGGCTACATAAGTGACCCTGGTGTGACCACGGTGGATAAATACATCAGTTAGTCAACAAACACGAGATCCACAACATGCGAGGCGGGAACAAAATTCAACAGGAAAAGCTCATGGAGTCGTGTTCCCAAAAAAGATCAAGGCCTCAACCTTCAAGCAATATCAGAGATGAGTGCTGATGTCATTAAAGGGGCTTACAGTGCTTGCTGGGAAGGCTGTCTGCTTACTTTTTACCTGTAGTCTGGAAGCCTCTGACATGTATATAAGGACCAAGGACTTTGATTCCACCACGAACTCCCCAAATATTCCACGGCCTTATCGAATACAGGGATCTCTGCTCTGGCGCCCTAAGGTCCCTGGAAGACCCTGTAAGGAGCTCAGGAAAGTCCAGAACTGTGGTCTCAGGGCAGCCAGAGGTGGATCCTCTGCTGGGAAAGCTTTGCAGCAATGAGGGCTCTTCAAGGGCAGCAGAGCAGGGCCCGACAATCCAAGCTGTCCAGGGGCTGGGTCTGGCCTTTCAGCCCCTGCTGCCTTGCATGCACCCTGTCCAGCCCTACCCAGCTGACCCAACAGAACCTGTTTTTCCCTATGGTGCTTATGTGACCCCAGTTCTTGCTCTTTTGCTCATGCTTCACCTGGAATGGTCTTTGCTCTCATCTCTCCACTCTTCCTAGTCAGCTATATTCTCTAAACTCATTTAAAATGTGATAATCTCCAGGAAGGCTTCTGAAGATTAACTAGAAGTTTCTTTCTCCTCAGAATTCCTGCACACACTGTATTACTTTTTCTTTCTTTTTGTCCTGGGGATTGGACCTAGTGCATGATGCTTGCTAGATAGAAGCTCAACTGTGAAGGTACATCCTCAGCTTTAGTTTTTGAGACAGGGTCTTGCTCAGTTGCCCAAGCTTGCTTCATACTTGCAATCTTCCTGCTTTAGGCTCCTATGTAACCAGAATTACAGGTATGTGCCATGGCTCCTGGCTGCTTATCACCTTTTAAGCTTTATAGCAGTCTTTTCATCTGTAACCTTTCCCATGGAAGGTACTAGGACCCAGAAACCCCATCTTACTGATGGTTGTCTTTCTAGCATTTAGTCCAGTAAAGCCTTGGTTTTGAAACTGCGTTTTGCACAGCCTCAGGGTTCCAGAGAGGTGTCCTGAGACCATTGGTTGGGAGAAGAAAGTAGCCAGGGGCACCTGCTGCAACCTGTGCTCTGGGCAGGTGGATTTTGATTCTAATTCTTCTCATATATTGTGACTCATGTAAGATTTTTAAAAAAGGATTTTGTTAGATAGAAAAAGGAAACCACCGTAATAGATATTGTCAAATATATGAACAGAATTACATCTATCTGTCTTCAGATATAATGAAATTTCATGATCAAAAATGAGCAGCAAAGGTTCAGAGTGGCCGCCAATCAAAGAACATGGAAAAGACAGAGGTTTTCTGGTCAGAGTCCAGCACTTGCTCCACCACTGACCTAGTTCTCCCATCACTGTACTGATCTTTTTGCACTAAACTTTGAGAGAAGCCCCGTCAAGCTCTGACTGCATTATGTTTAAGGTGTTTAGAACCCCTGGTACCCAGTTCTGGGGTGCACAGCCACGCTTCTTCAGGGACACAGGACAGAGCTACAGTGATGCCTCCTGGTGCCCTCTGCTGCCCTCCCACCCTCAGTATTTCTACTACAGATGTGCCTGCTACACTCTGCTGTAAACAGCGTGACTCGCCACTGGTGCTCAGGCTAAGACTCTAGTCTTCCTTGGTCGCACTGTTCCTTCCCTTCTCATGTCCACTTCATCAGTGAACACTACTTCTGACCAGATTCCAAAGCAGCTCACCTCTCGCTGCCGCCCACTGCTACCAGCTGCTACGGTCCAGGCACTGCTATCTCTTACCTCGGTCACCCTAACTGCCTCTCACCTGGCCTCCCGGCTTCTGCTCTCTCTTCCTTATAATCCATTTTCTAGGCAGTGGCCAAAGTTAGGTTTAAATGCATTTTGTCAAAAACTCTTGAAGAGTCCCCCCCCCCCCGCCCGGTACCGGGGATCAAACTCAGGACCTTGTGCTTGTGAGGCAGGCCTGGTGCCACTGAGCTACATCCCCGGCCCCTCTTGAAGAGTTTTTCATCCAACAGAAAGTATAACACTCCCTTCTGACTGGGGAAATGAGCTAACCAGCATCTGTGTTCCACACTAGAGTAAATCAACCTGTGCATTCTGATAGCCTCCAGTCGGGATGTTTTCCTTTCTGTACAAAATTGATGAGCACATGAGAAGCAGAGACAGAAAGGTCGGGACACCACTGAGACACGGAAGCGACTTACAGCTTCAGATTTGGGAGGCACTGGAGGCGGAGGTAGGGCAATTTCTGAAGACTTCATTGTGGCTCCCGGAGTCCCAGGGACAGGAAGAGGCGAAGTTGCACATTTGGAGCGGACAGAGCCTCTCAAGGGGTCACATCTGCTCTTCTCGCTCAGTGAGTGGGTGAGAGGCTGGCAGCTGGGCTTGCCTTCCTCCAGCCACAGTTCCTCATAAGGAAGTTCGGACTTCCCTGGGACGCCCGCTGACTCTTCACCAGCTTCCGGGAAAAGGTAGTCGCTCCCACTGTCACCAGAGTCCTGATAGGGCAGGATGTCATGAGGAAAGGGAGCCCACTCTCCTCCCAGGTCCCTGCAGCCGTGGAGGTTCACCTCGCTGTTACCATGGAGATTGTTGCCATATACACAGACGGAGAGCCGGTGGAAGGACTGGGTGAGCTCATCGCGGGCGTAGCTCAGGGAATTGGGCATGTGGTTGTGGCCAGAGCACCGGCTCTTTTTGGGGCTTTTGCAGTCCTCATTCCAGTCCGTTTTCACATCGCGGACAGCCCGGGAATACTCGTCAATGTCAAACTGTTCTTGGCAGATACCCAGCCAGTGATGGACCAGGGTTTCAGGCCACACCTCTCCCTTGACCAGGTGTTCCGGGAGGCTGAACTTGGGGACAGTCAAGTGCAAAGGGAAGTGCATGGGGAGGATCTTGTTGTTCCGCAGCACACAGCAAACCACCACTGTCTTGGTCTGGATGTTCACAAACTTGTAGCGGTGGCCCTCTCGGATAAAGTGGAGGTCGTACGGGTTTCTGGGTGGAGGGCTGGGCACAGTCACGTTCACAGGCAGCCTGGTTTTCTCCACGATATTGCGGATGGTGTGCTCACCCTCCTGCATCTGGAGCTCCAGGGGACTCCGCGTACTAAATCTGCCCTTGCACTGGAATGGAAGGCTGATGCTTTCGTTGGTCCGGTGATTCATGCAAATGAGGCATGGCATTTTGCCTTTTCCCAGCTTGCTGATCGAATTGAGTTTCCCAATCTTTTTGAAGATTGTGTTGAGCCGGGACTTTTCCTTGAAAGTCTTTGCATATAGGATTTCCGCCTGTCCCATTAGGGTGAGCTCATCCCCGGTGCACAGGGTTATGTTGTAAACCTCCGTGTCTTCATTGCATTCACCAGAAGCAACCTGCAATGTGGTAAGTCAGATTTCAGGTTAGTTTCCTTTAGTCTGTTCCCAGGAATCAGGACAGAATTTTCTATCATGACACAGAAAAATGCTGTGCTTTTTTCAAATATTAAATTGATACTTATTTTTTAAATAATATTTATTTGGTTAATAATAACCATTTTTTGTCTAGAATAATACCAGTTTAGACTCCTAAAAATACCTTTAACTCTCTTACACATGCAGAATAATCTATCATTTAGAGAATTATACTGGAACATTAACATTATCAGTTATAAATAATGCTTTAATGAACAGCACTGTAAAAATTTTTATCAAGTTTTTTGCTTTAGAAATTTCCTAGTTTTACACAATTTTTACAATTTCTAATTGAGAAAAAGGTTTAAAAAAATTTTGTTGCTGCACTGAGGATCCTTTCACGGGGCGTGGTGGCACAGGCCTGTCATCCCAGCACTCAGGGGGCTGAGGTAGGAGGATCACAAGTTCGAGGCCAGCGTGGGCTACATAGTGAGTTCAAGGACAGCCTGAACTGCATAGTGAGACTCTGTCACAAAAAACCAAAAGCCAAAACAACAACAACAAAAAACTAGGGCCTCACAAATGCCAGAGAAGCACTCTACTACTGAGTTAATTCTCAGTCCTTGAAATATTTTATTTCTCCTTTTAGGAAATCTTATTATACAAACTATCCATGTTCATTGGAAGACATATTAGAAAATACAAATACAAAAGGAAAAATTCAATATATCTTACCACTATGTATAATTTGTCAAAAATTTTATATAAATAGAAAAAAGAAATAGTACCTATCAACCTTAAAGACACATAAATACAATTCTGTTAGTTCAGTTTCTATTTTAATTATCCATTTTCTTCTGTATGTATACCTTATCAGTTATAATGCTAAACTAATGTATTCATTATACATTGATGTACCTTAATTTATTTTGAGCAGTTCCTTACTGTTAGATAGATGGGTTTTTCCAATGCTTAACAATTGTAAGTAGCACTGCAACAAACATCTTGCCAGCTCAATTATTTCCATAGGACAAAAGAAGTAGAAGTGCCTGGACTAAAGTATGTACATATTTGAAATACATAATATGTATTGTCCATTGCATTTCATCAATGTTGTACTTACTTTACCTCTATCACTTTATGCAATTATCTGTCATCCTCTACCCATGCTGAATAAGTTAATTTCATGTTTACTAACACAAAAGGTAAAGCCTGCATTTTGAATTTATTTGTTCATGTTTTAGTCTAAATATCTTTATTTGTATACTATATTGACTTTTTGGTATTTATTTATCTGGCTATTTAGATCTCTTCTTATTGGTTACTTTTTACATAAGGGAACTGTCATTTACATTATATACTTTTAAATTTGTTGCTTGAATTTCAATTTTATAGCTTCCTGAAATACTTTCTTTTATTCAATGGAGTCAATATTTTCAGAATTTTCCTTTGTGATTTCATTCTTAGGTGCTATGCTTCTAGTAGAGATGATCTAGTGCAGCATTCTGAGCCAGGGGTGATTTTACCCCAAAGATACAACTGGCAGTGTCCGGAGACATTTGAGTGCCACAGCTGAGAGAGCTGCAGCTTGTGTTTCCTGGAGAGAGGCCAGGGTTGTTGCTAAATATGCACAATATATAGGACAGTGCCCAGAGCAGAGAATTATGCAGTCTAAAATTTCATTAGTGCTGAAGTTGAGAAATGCCGAAACAATCACCAATACTTCTTTTCGTTTTTTGAGGGTTTTGTGTATTAATTGTTCACTATTAAGCTTATTTAATGAATTTTCTTTGGTGGATAACTTAAAGTAGGGATCTAATTTTATTTTTAAAGTTAACTGTCTATCAAACTTCTTAACTGTCCCTTTTACCATTGATTTGAAGACCCACTTTAAATGTATACTAAATTCATACAACACATACATTTAAATGTTTACATTATTACTTGTATCTATTTAGAGGCCACTTATCTAGTGAGCTATTTTCTCATACTGTTTAAATTTCCATATCTTTATCATGAATGTTCATATCTGACAACAAAAGCTTATTTGTGGCTATTCTGACTGAAAGTTAATTTTGGATGACAAGAAACAAGAGAAGTCAAAATCAGATGATAAACTGATAGAAAATATTTGCGAAATATATCATTTATAAACAGGTAATGTCCTTAATCTATAAGAAACTAAAAACCAAAAAATGCTGCATGCAAAAAAAAATTGGCACAGAACTTTAAAGCTAATTCATTAAATATGTGCAGTGGCTTTCAAACCTATGAAAAGATGTTCAACTTTTCTCATAACAAGAAAAATGTAAATTAAAATTATGCCATGATACCACTTTTCATCTGCCATTCTGTTTTTTTTTTTTTGGTACTGGGGATCGAACTCGGAACCTTGTGCTTTCGAGGCAGGCGGCAGAACCACTGAGCTAAATCCCCAGCCCTGCCATTCTGATAAAGCTCAAAAGCCTGGCCCTGCTCTCAGCTGGGGAGGCTGTGGGGTTACAGGAACTCCTGTCCCGGGCTGGTGAGAAAGCATCATGATAAATCCCTGTGGTGGGGAACTTGGCAGTAACAAACCTACCAACTACCTAGACATTCATCCCTCTGTCCAGCAATCCTACTTCTAGGAATTAACCTTGAAGACAACCTGCCAGCAATAAAAAAACAAAAAACAAAAAACATACACATACAGGGTTATTTATCGAAGCATTTTTTGTCCTTGCAAAAATGCTGGAATTGATGTAAGTGCCCAAACATAGGTGACTGACTGAATAAACTAAGGCACACCCACATAATGGTACCATGGAAAACAAAGAATAAAGATAATGACTCCAATGAATTGACATGAAGCAACTTACAGGACATATTAAGTGAAAAAAAGCAAAATGCAAAAGATGCTTATTTATGACATTTTTGTTTGAACAAAAGGGAAAATTAGTATACATATTTTCTTATTTTTGTAAAACAAAACACAGGAAATGGAAACCAGAAAACAGTGAACCTGGTTAGTTATAGGCAGTGATCTGGTAGGAAGGAGGTGGGAAGGGCAGGGAGAAAGTGAGCCCTCTCTGAGTCCACCCTGCTACAGAGCTGTGATTGTTAGGATGCATGCTAACTCTCTGCATGGTCAAAAATGAACAAGAATGCAAAAGCTGCAGATGGAAATGTGAACCCAACTGTATTTCAAACAAAATAACCACTTGGTGAACAGAGGCAGAGAAGCAACCCAGTATACCCGGAATGCTGCTCTTGGTTCTGTGCTGCCTGTCTAGAGGACTACCGTTGACTGTATAATGCTGGCAAGGGGGCAAAAACACCAATAAACATTCTGCTCCTTTTAGTAAATTTGTTTGGGGATATGGGTAGAGAAATTGTGAGTCAACTTTATGCATAGTATAGGACTGAATGAGTAAATGTGTCGATGTTTTGGAAGTTGCAGACTTCGTTGTGGAAGGAGAGACTAATATGGAATAGGAAAGGCAGGCAAGAACCCCTTGAGGACTGGTTTGGAACTGGACTATCAGTATTAACTTGCAATTTTCAGAAACTACACACACGTATGCAATTCAACATACACACATCTTGGCTTTTTTCTTTTGATGCAACTAGAAGCTAAGCCTTCTATTGTCCCAAACTATTCCTCACTGAAAGAAATTGAGGCATCTTGAAGAAATGACTGATTCCAGCAGTAATGTAGGAGTGGTACAAGATGAGTTTGGAACATTTTGTTGTGCCAGAAAGTAAAGTGCTTGTGAGATGATGAGATACATAAAAAGAACAAAGGAGCCAGCCTGAATTGGCTCGCACTGGCAAAATCTGGGAAAATTTGAGCATCACAATAAATACACCATAGTGAATTATCATCTACTAAATAAAATAGGAATGTTTATATCTGATAGCAATACAGATGAATAAATGAAAAAATTAACGGGGAAAAAAGCCAACAAATGTGCAGATTGGGAGGATTAGACAATAAAAATGTGCAAATATCATAGTCAGGACTGATTTTAAATTTACAGAAGGTTGATTAAGATGTAAGTTACGAGGGACCGGGATTTAGCTCAGTGGCACTACACCTGCCTCACAAGCACAAGGTCCTGATTTCGATCCCCAGTACCAAAAAACAAAACAAAACAAAACAAAACCCAACAAAAAAAGGACACAAGTTATGTACATGATCTTCCTCCAGAATGCTTATGAACTGCAAGGAGGTAAAAGTAAATTATCTACTAAAGCAAGCAGACAGCACCTTGACTGGGTGACCAAATCTAATCCCATCGAAGACAGGTACATGTCAACACCATGTCCGTGAGATGCCCTTGACCTCATTATGTTTCCATTCCAGGCAAAACTGTATTACCAGAATGGAATCAGAGGAGATAGCAGACAAACCCAAGCTGAGAAATATTCTAATAAACATCTGCTCTATGTTTATATATAACACATATATGCATATATATCACATATATATTTCATATACATACATTTATATATTACATATATATATTTTTGGGGTCAGTATTGGAAAGTGAATTCAGGGTCTTTGCACCGAGCTACATCTTCACCTGTTTAACTTTTAAAAACTTTTTTTGAGACAGGCTCTCACTAAATTGTTCAGGCTGGACTGGAACTTGCAATCCTCCTGTCTCAGCCTCCTAGATTGCTAGGATTATGGGTATGCACTCAGCTAACATATATTCTTTTGATCATGGTATATTTATATGTAAATACAAAACTATCACTGTAAGATACTGAATATGAACATTACAATTATTACTGAATCTGACTTAGTCCATCGATGTTAAATACAAAATGAAATGATTGTAAAAAATAATATACATATTCAAAGAGCTTATTACAGTATGGAATTACTGAGGTCTGATCAGCTGCCAACCTCATCTTCTACAGTGGGAGAAAAAGATTTGGGGGTCTTGGGGACCCTCTTGGGAGTATAGAATACTGGGGACTCTTGATCCCATCCC